GTGATCACCAAAATGAAAATAAAAAAACTTTGATTAAAATCCTAATGAAATAATCAGCTTTATTTCAATCAAGCTTTTTATCATCATCATTATTCATTGAATTTTGCAGGAAAAAAAATACTGAAAGATGAATGTGTTGTTGTGCTATCCGATTTAGTTTAGTTTTTTCAATTTAGTATAATACTAATTATCATCCGTGTATTGAACATTGCAATCAAAAAAATTTCTGGATATTCAGATTAATTGAAAAAAGGCATGAATGTGTTTTAAAGTTTTTTTTTTCAGCCTGTTCAAAACAAAACTTCAGTTGCTGTTGTTATTGAAATAATCTGATTATCAGCGATGAAAAACAAAAACAGAAAAAAAAGTAGGCTAAACGATAAATTGGTGAATAGCATAAAAATGATATTCGGAAATGGATAATGAAAAATGATGCTTTAAAAAATCTCTGAAGCTAATATTGATGAAATAAAAATTTATCTAAATTTTCATACAAATTTCTATACATAATTTTTTTCCATAAATTAAAAATAATAATTTTACCAGTGTGATCTGTTTTGTACAACTAAATATTGTCGAATATCTATGTTATGATGGAGGATAAAATGGTACATACAAAACATATTCATTCCATAGAATGGTTTTTGGTAGATAAGAATAGTTTGTATATATTCAATGTCCAGTTAACCGAATCTACATATTGAAAAAATATATTCAAACAACTAACAACAAAAAATTGTTCGACCATTCACCCATCATCATCATCATCATCATCGTCATGTCGCTTAGACATGGATAGGGAGAAAAACATACATAAAAAAAGATGATGCTGATGATCAACCATTGAAAATATGAAGCAGCAGAATCAACAACAAAAAAAACGGTTGGCAAGTTTCACATTTCATAGATTGTTGTTGATTGCAGGGAATTTTATTCCTGATCCGAAACTTGAAACATGTAATATTATTTCTTATCAAAGGAATTTTTCTGTTTGTGTGTGTGTGTGTGTAATAAGTGTTGGTTGTTCCATATTCTACATGTCCCATGTTTATGTTCCAAATGGATCGTCGACCCTCATCATCGTTTAATTCAATCATTTTTTTTGCTGTTGTCTTGTTTGTAGGCATATATTCAGATCACATTTTTATCATTTCCAGTATCACTATGTTGTTGTTGTTTTTTTTCGCAGGAATCAACAAAACAAACAAAACACACACTCAAGAATCATCATTAAAAGCTAGTCAGTTATAGCTATTTTTGAACCAAAAAAAAAATATACATGTTCAGTTGATATAGAAAAAAAATGGAAAGATGTGTGTATTTACAATTGGTTATTGTAATTCTAATTATTTATTTTTTTTCTTCCGAAATTGTCATATTGGATTTTTTTCGGTGTAATCTTTGTATGTTGGTGTATGTCACATTCATAATCGGATGGCAGACAAATAAAATGAACAGATCCATATTTTTTCCACCGAATAAAAAATTCCATTCCCTTTTGTTATTCTTGTTGGCTGTTTACAACAAAAAAAAAACTCCCGACCAAATATTTATATATTGAAAACATAAATATCACACACAAAGACATACACAAAGACAACATTCAGATGAGTAAAATCATTGGTTTTGTTGATGCTTCACTTGATTTTTGTTTTTTTTTTGCGGTTGATTCTTTTTGATTTTATTCTGTCTGCTTTTGAGTTAGTTTTTTTTCGGTTTTGCTGCTGCACATTCAAGATTATCGACGTGTTTATATGGCCTTTTTTTCTTTTTTTTCGGTGGTTACCAATTCTATGTAGTAGTTTTTTTATTTACAATTCACATTTCTGGATCGGTGATGATAAGTCTCGGATGTTTCTATTTTATTATTGTATATACATTGAACGACCAATAACAATAAGAATAGCGGAGAAAAATTATTATTATTACGACCACAAAAAAAACGACAAATTGGTTGTGGATGTTATATCGTTCGGTTTTTCATTTCAAGTTAAAGTTGAATTCTTTATTGCATTGTAATAATAATAATACAGGATGATGATAATAAGCTTCAATGAATGAATTGTATGAGAAGAAAAAGAATTCAAGTCATATGGATTAACTTGTTCCATTCTTATTTTGTATTCTATAACACCAAAACATTCTTACTGTATTTATTATTTGTAATGGAAACAAACAAACAAGAAAAGACAAGACAATCAAGTTTTTTTTTTGGTATTCACACTTTTTATTTTTACCCAACTATTTTGGATTCATCCAAAATAAACAAAGTTTGAAAGTTTTTATATGATGATGTTGATGTTGATCAAATATTATTAGAAATAAAAATTCATAAGTTATATTATCCATGTGTGTGTGAAAATATAAGTTTAGTTATCTACAGAAACCTTATCGTAGTCGAATTGGTCGGGTCGAATCGGATAATAATAATAATAATAACGGTCGAGTCGATCCGGTCAGTGGCCTTTTTTCCCATTCATTTATTCACTATGTATTTTGTTTGGATGTATTTTTTTTCATTTATTTTCTTTTTTTTTGTTCCATTTCATTTTTGCCAATTAACTATCTTATATTACATGTAATATATCTCTGCGGTTGGTTATGAATTGGTAAATTGTTTATTGTTGTGTGCATGTATATCTATGTCATTTTTTTTTATATTCCTGGCCAAAAATGATGAAAACCTTAAAGAATAATGTTCATTCTTTCACGAATACACTTTGTGTGTTTGTGTGTGGGTATACGATATAAATAATCCATAATAGTATCTAATTTAATTAAAAGATATCCATACTTTTTATAATAGAGATGTCTTTTAGTTTCTTCATGTGCGTGTGTGTGTGTTCTATGATGTCCACATCTCTAATAGAAAGAAAGAATCCAAATTCTTTCTGTTTCATTGAGTTCTTTCTTACATTTTCCTTTTTCCTAAACGAAAACTTTAATTAAATTTCCGTCTTAAAACTACAGTATTTACAATTGGACATTGTTTCATAGTTTTTTTTTCTCATTATTATTGAAGAATTTTTTTTTATGGTTTATCAATTTGAACATTTTGTTTTAAAATTTTAAAATTTAATATTCTGTTTTTTTTCCTAGATCATTTTGAATTCAGTTATTTTATTATTGCTGTCCTTGTTTTCTTGGCAAGATACACACTTATTGTTGAACATCATTCAAAATTCTAATACAATTCTAATTCAGTTTCTGTTTACTATGCTGTTGGTATGGGCAATTTTCAATTCTTGATGATGGCGATAATATCACTTGAAATGAATGAAATGAAATGATAAAATAAATAAATTCTATCCATATATTTAGGTTATTATCATTTGTATATTGAATAACAATTTTGTTTTTGTTTTTTTATGACCATTCTTCTTTATTTTTTTGCATCATCTTCATCTGTTTTCTATGGAAAATTTTGAAAATGACCATTTTCAAAATTTTGTTTCCAAAATACAGTCATGATAATAAAGAATATTCTTGTTTTTCTCTTTCGATGAATATCAAGTAAATAAATTTTTTTTCTCAATTGTTTTTTTGGTTTTGTTTCAAAATCATTATGAAAATCATCACGTTTTTTTTCTAGAATTCATTCATTCATTCATTTTGATTATTGCGTATTCTATGGTGTAGGTTGGGGAAAACACACTGGGGTGATTGGACGATTCAAAATCATTGACATCAAATGAAAAAAAAACATGTATTAACAGAATCAATCATATTTTTGAAATGAAAATCTACTGAAAATGTTTTTTTCAGCTTCCATAGCTTCCATCATTTTGTTTTTTGTTGTTGATTTCAATATCAAAACAAAATATCGCACAAGTATTTTCATTTGTAAACATCCGGATCAAACTAGAAATAAAAAATGCTTATCATTTATTTATTTGGTTGTTCTCATCTTGATAATTGAAACGCACAACAACAACAATTTCGGATGTGTAATCAAATCGTTGATTTCATTTCATTTCAATGATTTACATCGATATTTTGATTGTACGATACAATAATTTTGTATTCATTTCAATTATTTTCCCCTTTTTTCCGATGATAAATCGTTAATCATTGACATAATAAAATATTATTTGTCTACATGATTTTTCTACATATCATTTAATAAAATATCGCTTAACTTGTTACTATGGTCTTAGATAACAAAAAACACATTGGCCTCTTGTCTATACAGCCAAAACAATCATTAAGCCATGTGATATAAGACGATTTCCAACGATCTTATACGACTCATTTACGAATTTCATAGACAGACAAATAATCTCGTTTTTTCCCTTCTATATATCGGTATATTGTAATTCATCTGTAATGATAATGATGATCCATAAGCGATCTGTATTGATTAGAAAAAAAAAGTATTTTTAAAACAACAAAGATTCCGATATCGCCTAAAAACAATGTAAACATTAAAACAATATAATGTGGTTTATCTAACGGTTTCGATTCATTCAATCGTAATTCATTTATTAAGAACGGTTATCTAGGTCATTTATTTTATTCGGTTTATTAGGTTTAAATTTGTAATTTTTTATTCACCAAAATCCAAAAATAATTGCATCATTTCATTCAAACAACAGCATCCTATACTCTATGAACGGCATAGAACAGCTGTTTTGTGCATGCAGAAAAAAAGACATTTCTTTCTGTTTCGAGGAGAAAACAAACACGTTGAGGTCATATCAATATTGCATTCGAAAAACAACATTTTTTTTTGCAACATGTACCACGTGACCGCTATTTACTGTTGATTTTCCCCTTCAAAAGTATTTGTATTTGAAAAAAAAACATTTTCAACAACTCTATCAAATGATAATCAACGATTCTTGAAATTCATATTTTTATATAACATAAAAAATATCGAAAATTTATTTATTTTTATCTTATCCAGAAAAAATTTCCCAAATATATAAGCCAACTCGACAATAAACAACAACAATTGATCATCGACAAACAAATTAAACATCGTATGATCATCATCGTCAAAAATAAACAAAATGCAAAAATCATATTTTTTGTCAAATACTAATTCAAAGGCAAAAAATTTTTTCGACGTAACCAACACAAATATTTTTTACTCATATCATTTATACAGACAAATGTCTAGCTAAGTTTAAAATCCATCATAATTTTTTTTTCGCCTCTTCCTTTATGATACCATTTTTTATGCTCATCATACACACTGATTTTCATTGTAAATCATTGATTGATACTCAAAAGAAACAAACGAAAGCTCACGTCATCAATAACACAAATCACCAAAAAAAGAAGAAATCCACAATCAAAATCTTGTATTGCAAAAATTTCCTTGTTTTCTTTATGTATTTCTTAATGTTGGAAATTCAGACGTTAATATTTCACGAATCAAATCAATCAATAAAAAACAAAATAATCGATCAAAATGGAAAAAGCACCTGCTGAATTATTACATAATCGACAACTATTAAAACAATTGTTGATGCAAAAAAGTAAGTCTCATCTCTGTGATTATTGTCATTGTTGTTTTTGTTGTTATTGTTGTCGTTGTCATTGTCATTGTTATTGTCAACCGTTCACCATTATGTGTTCATCGAAATCATCATCATTATTGCTACATTGATATAAAATTTATCCATGTCTTTAGAATTAAAGGATCGATTATCATCAACCGTATCGAAAGATACTCCCGGACCACTTGTACCACGTTGGTATTTTGGTGGTATAGCATCGACTGGTGCCGCTTGTATTACACATCCATTGGATACGATGAAAGTTTATTATCAAACATCAGGATTACTTGCAGGACGTCAAACATTAGTGGCCGCAACAATTCAAGTGATCAAAAAAAATGGTTTTCTTGCCCTGTATAATGGTCTAACAGCTTCGATGTTACGTCAATTAACTTATTCAACTGTTCGTTTTGGTATCTATGAAGCTACTAAACAAAAACTTATTACACATGAACAGCAAATATTACCTTTATATGAACGTATGATTATAGCTGCCTTTTCTGGAGCGTTCGGTGGCCTAGTCGGTACACCACCTGATGTTGTAAATGTTCGTATGCAAAATGATATTAAGCTTGAAAAACGTTTCAAACGAAACTATCGAAATGCCTTACAAGGTTTGAAAGAAATCTATCGTAAAGAAGGTCCATCTGCTTTATTTCGTGGTTCATCAATGGTAATGGCAAGATCAATTTTAGTATCTATCGGTCAATTAGCAATGTATGATCAATTTAAATATTGGTTTGTAACAAAAGCATCAATGGCTGATGATAAAATGAAAACACATATTATTAGCAGTACGTTTGCTAGTATCACTTGTACGATTCTAACACAACCATTGGATGTATTAAAAACACGTATAATGAATCAAAGTGAAAATTGTACGAGACAAGCATTGAAAAAACAGGTTATGGATTTATATTGTTCATCAGGTATACGTGGATTTTATAAAGGTTTTGTACCGGCTTTTATACGTGTTGGTCCTCATACTGTTCTTGTATTTGTTATCTATGAACAACTTCGTATACGATTCGGTGTTAATATTTGATGATTTTTTTTTGTTTGTTTGTTGATGTTTTTGTAAAATTATCATTTATATTTTTTTTTTTTTTTGAAAAACTTGATTGTGATATATTGACGATTATCATTATTATTATTATTATTATTATTTCACATTGATGATAATTATGCAAAAAAATATAATTTGTTTATCTGCTGTCATTAAATTTGAAAAAATTTTCATGTAATTTATCATTTATAAACGTCATTTATATTCATTCATTTTTGATTCTTGAAAATTTTTTTTTGTCACAAATAAATGTTACTTATTCTTCATATATTTTTATGCCAAATAAAATAGAAATTTTTTTTTTCAAAATTTGATATTCGAAAGAATTTGATTTGAATGGAATTGTTTTTTATCATTATTATTATGAAATTCTTGTAAATAAAAACTTAAAAATATGAAACTTTTATGAATAAGTGACAATGACAAAATGTTGAATTTGAAACATTCAAAATAAAAAATGATCACTTGAGAATTGTGGTGTGGAAAACTACATTTGAAACGGGGGAGGGGAGGAAATTCAAATTTTGCTGACAAGTTTTGGATCTCTTGTAGAATAGGAACCCCAAAGTCCTGCCCGGATTCTTTGTTTTGTTTTGTTTAATCAGGTACCATTATCATTAAAATCGTAACTTCATTGTACAAGTTCATGAATTAAATGATTTTATATTGTTTTTTTATTTCATTTAAAAAATCATTAAAAGTATTTACAGTATGTCGTTCACGCCAAAGTAATTCATAGATGTAACTTTCTAAATGATCACCCTTTTACAACCATTCATTCTCTTTATTAATTTTTTGTTCTTATTCCAATAGCTTTCGATATTCTGTGTATGAACCGCCATGACTTTATCCACAAAGTTCAATTTGTGATTAATGGTTTTAAATCACATCGATATCATTGATCCGAATATATAATGGATCCAGGCATGACAATTTTTTAATAATGCTTAAAAGTTTCTTTGAATCCCTTTTCTCTACCACCTCCTCCATGTAGCCTAAACTTGGTTTTATACTGGTGTCAACCATGCCAAAGACCCACACTTGTTTTGCACTACGGCCTCGATGATGCTTTGGCTTGTAGGAAAAACAGCTCTCGTCGACTTGAATTATTCTTTGGTCCCCACGCAATTTTATCGGGTTGGTTAAAAAAATAATTCTGGCACACTTCTCTATAAAAGTTATAAACATCAACCATTGTCTTCGCTCCAACACCAAATGTTTCAGAAGTATGCTTCTGAGAAATACCACGAGTCCATAATATAATAGAATGTATCCATGTTTGTAGAGATAATTTGGATCTAAAAAAGAAAAATCCGCTCCTAATTGATATCCGTGACAAAACAAAACATTTTATCAATGATGGTTTAATCTGTTTAAAAAAATTTAGTTTAATAAATGAATTATGTAAAGATAATTTGTAATTTAATTTCATACTTTCTTTATTATTATTATTTTTTTCCACAACAGATATGACCTTTTCGTGTGATCAGAATGGTGAATGTGTGGAAAGAAAATATATAAAAAGGAAAACAAACGAGAGAAAAAAACGACTTTTCCTCGAGGTGTTCGAATTTGAATTCGAATTCGAATACAGTCATCTCTCGGTCATAACACCAGTTAATTTGTTTCGTGCAATAAAAAGAATCGTATTAAATCAGTACCGAGTGATGACTGTATTCGAATTCGAATTTTTTTTTTGACGACCAACCGAATTTTCGATATTGTTGATGATGACGATGATGAACGAATTTTTTCGAATCCATTTCGAATTTGGACAAAAAAAAGAGAAATATCAGCTCAAACATGATCAACCAATATAAAATAATTGATTGATGATGATTAAGCGAATTTACCAGAAACACCAAACATCATCGACAAAAAGAAGACATTGAAAAGCGAAGCAAAACAAAAAAAAAATTGTGGCCAAAAGTCACAAAAAAAAATAAAAATAAAATTCCATTCCAGTTTTAGTTGATAGGTTACCTATATGTGTGACTGTGTTTTTTTTTTTGCATTTCAATTCGTTCAATACCCCCCGTATCTCAATGAATGAATGAATCAACATCATCATCTATGGATGATATTTTTCAAAACAAAACAAAAAAAAATTGATGACGATCTTATCCCCATAGATAATTTTGTTTGTTTGTTTGTCTGTTTGGGTTAGGGTAATGGTATTTTGAATTATACTAAGTAGCTTCTCTCTTTTTATTCGTATACATTTTTTTTGTTGAAAACAATCGATGTTGATAATCAAGATGAAGAAGAAGAATATAAAAAAAACAAATATTCACTATATTCGTGAATACATTTTTTTCTGGTTCTTTTCACTCGCAATTTTTCAATTGTTATGATTATTATGATGATGATGATGATTATTACTTCTGCTGCTGCTGTTGTTGAAATTTGCAGTTTTACAATATTGTTTTTTTTCGGTTTTTTTTTCTGTTTTGAATTACCATTCTGCCTGCCTGCCTGTCTTCATTGGTTGATCAAGTGGTGGTGAATCTGCATAGTTCATTCTTCTGCATCTTCTTTGTCAAAAATTTTTTGAAGAGCAAAGAGCAAAAAAATAGTGGTAGCCATTCTATTCTTAAGGCCATAATCATCATCATCGAATGAAAAAAATTCAATGACATCTCAACAACATATATTGTGAATAAGAATTTTGTATTTTATTCATTTGTTTGTTTGTTTTGAAATGTTAATGATTTGTTTGCAAACACATTCATTCGTTATACAACATCATCATCGCTATGGTTTATGAATCTCGTTTATCATTATGGATGGATGGATGGATGGCTGTGAAATGATTCAAATTTTGTTTTGTTTTGTTTTGATTTACCTGACGAAAAAAAAGGAATTTTCTCTCTTTTTCACTTCTTTTCTTTATCGCTTTCTTTGTTTTGTTTGTTTGTTTGTTGGTTTATGCAATATTTTCCACTTGATCTTCATCTTGAAAAAAGTGGTTTTCATATTGAAGATTTTTGTTTGTTTGTTTGTTTGTTTATTTCCTTGAATTTGGGCGTTCGACCTTTGAACCATATTTGGTTAATATTTGAAGGATTTCATTTTTTTTTCTTCTTTAGCATCACATCATTGGTAAACATTCAAGTCGATAATTATTTCGAAGAAAAAACCTGATCGATTTTTTTTGCACCAGCTAAAAAAAATTGATAAAAATTTTTATCTGTTATTGCTGAAAAGATGGAGATGAAAAAATAATCAAATCTTCAATGAATCCTCAATGAATGATCCTCATTCGTAAATTTAAAATAGAAAAAACATTCATTTTCATTCTTGGTTTAAATGATGTTATAAACTTAACCAATCAACCAAAAGATGAAATGATGATAAGGATATAAATGCAAAATACGAAACAAACATCATCATCATCATCTAATTCACACATACCTTTGGATCCATACATATGATTATCAATATTTAGCCAGAACATTATAATCATTGAAAAAAATAGGAAATAGGAAGAGTAAGAAAAATATTATTGAAGATAAAAATGAAATCCGTATCTTAATGTTTCTCTTCATCTGAATCTTCTTCTTCTTCATCATTTTTTTTTCTCTGGAGATTTATCCTTTTTTCACACTCTTTCAACGAATGCAAAATAGGAAAAACAAACAATCATTTGTATCATTTCTATAATCGTTCATCATCATCACACAAATAAACAAAATATTTACATGAATAATAATGGAGATTCCACATGGAACAAATTTCCTATTTTGATTTATTTATTCATCATTCATTGATTAATAAAACAATTCATAATGCAGACACAAATCATCATTAGACTTATTGGCTAATGATTTTTCAATTTTTGCTTGAAAGAAATGAATTCATTTTATTTATATTTCCATTCCATCATCATCATTATCAACAACGAAGAAAAAATGGCTGGTTGATGTGTTGTTGTTGATTATTATTTTTTGATAGTTAATCAAAAATGGAAAAGATGAATCGATGTTTGTTTGTTTGTTTGTTTGTATATAATCAATATCAATATCAACAACAGCTACCTTTGTTCAATGTGTCAATGGTTAATGATTATCAATTTTTATTTTCATTTAGTTTGATATGAATAAATTGTTCCCCGTACTCATAATGATGATGATGATTTATCAAAGAAAATGGTGATTGCAATGTAGATAGAGAGAATAAACCTGGTTTAACCATGGTTCTTACATGAATAAATTTTCAAACGAATTGAATTGAAAATGGATAAAATTGAAACAAATAGAAATGAAATTGAACATCCGTCTTTTGACAAATGACTTCTTTTCTTTTTGGCCAATAGATATATAAATGAAAAAATTGTAATATATTACACACCGAACACTTCAATATTATTATGATTCATGAATGTTGATCTATATAAATTACGATTGTATGAAAGAATAATCGTTGATGATCATTGATGATCAGTGAATATTAATCAATTCGAATCCTAAATGCTCAAGGTCAATGATACTCTTTTTTTTCATTTAAAAATTGAATAGAAATCGATTTAGAAAAGTTTCTTTTGTTATCAATGATTATTGAGATAATCTTCTAATAATCGATTGAATAAATGTTTGTAATTTAAATTTACTTGATTTTTAATCAGTAGCCCATAACAATTCCTATACGGTAGCTACAAAAATTTATAAAATGTTTTTTTCATTTGTTAGCTAAATATCATTGTTGAATTTTTTTTTGCTGAAAAAATCGAATCCGATACTGAATGTGGTAAACAACAACAACAACATCCGTGATGATTTTCAATTGCATCATTTTGATGCAATACTATCATGTACTTTATATAATGAGTAGAACACTCCAAACGAATAGTATCATAGTAATAATCATCATTAACCATAATCATTATCATTTTTATCTTAGATTGGTATTCCATCTTTCTAACCATTAATTTCAATTGAAAATTTTTGTGTTTTTTTTACATTTCACCTTCATCATACGAATTTCTCCTTCAGATCTTGAATTTTCTTTATCTTATTTCATGGATATTCTTTCTTTCATTCTCTACCCTTCA